GGCGATTTTTGCTTAAGGACGTAAATCCGTTCCCATTGGAACGGATTATCTGGTTTTCAATGCATTTCAATGGGAAACCGCGTTTCGCTTAGCGATGTTTTCCCATAGCGACAATTTTTTTGGAACCAATTAAAATCGTTAAGCGAGGCACCACTGTGTAGCTGCTACCGACAATGGTTGAAGCAACAGTGAATAACCGAATGGCTAAGGTTTCTGTGAATATCTGAGGCCAGAGTTTGGGAAGCAGTGACTTTCTTTTTTCAACTGTGTTGACACAGTTTGTACAAACTGAAAAACTAGTATAGTCATGTGTATTAGTTAGGACATGTGTGTATATGTATGTTTGTATGTATATGCTAACAAAAGTCTAGTGATGAATCTGCTTGCACTGTCATCTGAAATGTTAAAGACACCGCTTATCTTTTTGACTTTGCTTTGATTATGAATTATGTGCAAGATGTTGACACTGATTCGAAATGCACACTGATGCAATTGGTTTTTAAAACCAGTATTTATATAGCACTATCCATGAACATGATGTTTCAAAGAACAGAAAGGTAGGCCAAAGCTCCATGATGCTTTATAATCTTTTTAGAAAGCCAGAGAATCCCAGGCAGGGCAGTCTGGAGGGCTGCTCTGCCTGATTCTTTTTTCTTCTTCTGGGCTCTGCAATCTTTTTCATTTGAGCATTAATACCTCTAAACCCAGCCAAATTCATTTTGCTGTTTTGCAGAATTTCCCCACTTACCCACAGAATTTGTCCTCATTGTTTTCAGTCACTCACTCTTTGAAGTCCATCAGAGCTCAAGGGGCTTGTTCAAAGAGCTGGGAACAGAAAAATCAAGCATGTACCATTCATCAGAGAAAGCTGATCTGGAAGAGCAAAGCATACAGCTAGTGTTATTCTGTATGTATGCTTCCTCACTCACTGGAGTATGGATAGGCTTTCTTTTTCTTGTGTGATTGTACATACAGTGGATTGAAGAGAGCACTGTTAGTACAGCAGGTGGACAAGCAGTAAAACACTGGCCAGAATCAAACTGAGTATTTATGCCATCCAAAACATAGTGGCATGATGTGGAGTGGAGAATAGCTGCTAATTGTGTGTTGTATGCTGTCAAGTCAGAGCCAACTTTTAGTAATTCTAATAGGGCTTTCAAGGTAAGTGAGATATTTAAGGAGTAGCTTTACCAGTTCTGTTGCCCTGGTCAGTTTCCATGGCTGAGCAGATATTCAAACCCTGTTCTCCAGAGTCCTAGTCCTTCACTCTATCCACTACACCACTGGAAAGCTACTAATTAACTAGCCTCAGATGGAATTCCTAGCCATCCACAAGTTGAATGACTCATCACATGGCTAGGAGTTCAATCAGTGATTTGCAAATTAGCAGTTGTCTACCACTGTGAGTTACCTCATTATGCTTCTGTAAATATTCATTTGGATTCCAGCCACTGAATCAAAAAACAGTAGCCAACAAATGTGTTAGTTTTTTAAAAACATTTTTAAACTTCATAGAATCATTGATTTGGAAGGCCCCTGTAATGCCATAAAGTCCACCCCCCTGTTGAACTTGATAGCCTAACGTAACATTGGTTTTTTACTTTTATTTTTTTTTAAACTTGGTGATCTGGGGGATATTGGAGCAATCATGGCATCAGGAGACAGGACTGTTATATATACTTTGCTAATATTTTCCCCAGCTGTGCCCATTTTTATATCCCTTTCTCCCATTCTCTTCAGTTTTTTCTTTCTTTTAAAAATCTGGCAGCCTGAAGTCATGGAAATAATCTAGAGTGGTACTGAAGAAATAAATCAGTTTATAAGCCTAGCTTCCACTTATCTTTCTGAGGAATTGGCTACTGGAGGGAAAAAGTGAATTCAAAGGAATGATTTCCTGTGCTACTATGTGGATGAGACAACCCCTTCTAGCTCTCTGCTTTGGAATCACATTACTTGCCTTGTAAAATTTTCTGCTTACTGGTTCTGCCTGCAGTTAGGAGCCCAGCTTTCTACAATGGCAGCTGCAATGAGAATGTTTGCCATTGATGTTAAGGCTTCAAGAAAAAACCAGGTTTGGAAGACAGAGTAGAAGGGGAGGGAGGCGACCTCATGGGGAGCATTCTGAGAAGCATGAGGAGCAGTAAAACGATCATGAGATGCAGCAAGAGATCTCTAGACAACTGAGACTGGTGGAGCTGGCAAGCAAAGACCAATTTTATTTTATTTATTTGTATCTCACCTTTCTCCTTAAAAAGAACCCAAGGCAGCTTACACCATTAAAAAGACTATGTAGAAGCTAAAAAGAGCAGGTATGCAAATATTTAAAAAGAATTAAAACAAGTTTTGGCTTAAAAACAGTAATAAAAAAAAATACTAAAACACATTTAAAACAACAAAGCACAACCATTCATTTAAAAACCCCTCTCGGACCACCAGTTATAAATGGAAAGCCTGCCTGAACAGAAAGGTCTTTGCATACTTGGTGAAGAACTGCAAAGATAGAGCCAGCCTAGCTTCCCATGGGAGGGAGCATCGTGGGAGCAGTCACAGAAAAGGCTCTCTCCTCTGTCCCCCCCCCCAGCGCACCTGTGAGGGTGGCGGGACCAAGAGAAAGGCCTCCCCTGATTATCTTAATGTCTGGGCAGGCTCACAGAGGGAGATGCCATGTTTTCAGGGACTTTTGGCATTCTTGGGACCCTAAACACACACTCCAGTTTTTTAAAATGTGGACATGAAAGGGAGCTTTTGCAATATTCCCCCACATTTTTGTAGGAAAAATTCGAGGTGGGCTTCAGTTCATGAAAAAGATAGGCTCTTTTTTTTGGAAATAAGAATGCTTTTGTTTAAATACAGCCTTGTTCAATATGGTGACTCTGTATAACACAGGACTGACCTGTGGTAAATGTGGATGTCTTGTTTCTTCTTCATAATTTTACACACTTTCTGTTCTTGACAAATAGATACTTGCTCTGACACAAACACTACCAGTATTGCAATTGTATTCATAACCTTTTCCCAAAAGTAGACCCACATTCATTCTAACTCGTAGACCTGACTGACTCTGTCATATATACTGTACCCCAAAACTGAAAAATTACAAAGGTTACAAAACAGACCTTCTCCAGCTAGGGACCATACAGACCAATCAGCTCACACTTCCATTCATAAATACACTTTCATACTTCTCAACTGCCACTCCTGACACACATCTCTCCCATGCAACTGTCAATCAGTTCACCATGCAAACCAATACAAACCTATACACAGAACATGTTTTTGGTTCTAAATTGACACAATTACTAGGAAGTGAATCAGAATTTTTGTCAAGGGGACAGAAGAAAGCTGTGTTTTTATAATGTTTTAACAGCAGAAGTGATAATTAAGTTATAATCCTTTTAGTACAAATTGACATTAGGATGGCATGTTTTGCATACTCTTAGTTACCTCTTTAAATTTTAACTCATAGGAACCTTATAGTACAGTGGTTACACTGCAGTACTGCAGCAAAAACTCTGCTCACAACCCAAGTTCAATCCCAGGTACCTTTCACAGTCCAAGACATCCCAGGCAGCCCATCACCAGGGGTAAGGGCACCAGGATCCAGTCCACTACACAGAGAATCAAGTCCAAAGGCACTCACTGCACACTTGGTCATGACCAAGCAGGAACACAGAGCCAGAACAAGGCACTGAGAGGCAGAGGCAAGAACAGGGGCCAAGACAGGAACACTGGAGTCAAGATACAGAGATGTAGGTAGCAAGGAGAGGCAACAGCAGGGGCTAAGACAGTAACATGAGCAGATACTGGAGCTCCGGAGCAGCAAGGCACTAGGAACAATAAGCACATTACCAAATAACTTTGTTGCTGAGGCCAGTTCTGGGAGGGAGAACCGCTCCTTAAACAGGCCTTCCCTCCAGGTTTCCAGGTGAGCCTCATGAGTTGGCCCAGCAGCTGCTACACAGGCCAGGGCCTGGGGCTGCAAACATCAGGCCATTCCTGGGTCAGGCTGGCCCTAATCCTGCAGCTGCCAGGGCGGTGTGGGCCAGATCCCAGCAGTAGCCCACTCAAGGTTCACTCAGCCTTCCATCCTTCTGAGGTTGGTAAAATTAGTACCAAGCTGGGGGGGAATGTGTCACCTGCATAATTACATTGTAAACCACCCAGAGCTTTAAGCACTATGAAGCAGAATAAAAGAAGCATTTTTTTGCTTTTTTAAAACTTTTAAACAAAAAAAGAGAGGTACAGTGTGATCTGTAGAGTAATTTCACCACTTCAGTATCCTTTATGTTCCTTCAGATTTGTGTAAACTGGTTGTTCAGAATACAGTACTCTATTTACTAAGACATATTCACAGATAAAAACATGGGTATAAGAATGTTCAAAAGCACCTTGCTTAAATATGAGGGCAAGTTGAAGAGATGGATTTCAAGTAATTTTTTGTTGTCACAAGAAGAATTTGATTTGTGCAGAAAAATGGTCATTCTATTGTAGTGTATTCTTTTATACCATGCTTCTTTGTTTGGTAAATGATACATGTGCATTTGATCCTGTTCGTTTTCACAAGCAGATATTAAATAAACACAATTATAGATGACCTACCTTGAATTCAAAATGAAGAAATCATATTTGAATGTCTCTGAGGGCCTATCTTGCAGATAGTATGCATATTATTCATATGCATATTATTCTCTCATTTGTTCCCAGTAAACAGCATCTTAGCAGTACCATTTAGATATTTTTCTCCTTTTTTCCAGGTTTCTGGAATGATGGAAGTAATTGCTCCTGAAGGTATTTGCTCCATATAATGCATTCTATAGTTTTTACAGTCCTTTCATTCTGAATGTCAAAACATTCTCTAGTGTCTGACCAAGAGCATCTTTAAAAAAAATCAACCCTTTATGAATCATCATAAAAACTATTCATTGTTTTTCTTTTGTTTTTATAGTTTTACTGTATTAACATTTCAGAGCTAAGAATACAATCATATGGGTGTCTGCCAAATGTAGGCCTTGGGCTACTATACAGTACTATACTGTTACTTTATTGGGAGTAAGTATAACAGAATGTGGTGAGGCTTACCTCTGTGTATGCATGTGTAGGATCAGGCCATAAGAGAAGGTACTCTCACGAATGTGCATATGTTGACCTATAAATTTTGACATTGTCATGCCTGCTCTCTGGACAGTAGTGCTGCTCAAGGAAAACATGTGCAGAGCAAATGTCTAATAATTCTGCTTCTACATATCTTGCTGTGTTTTAATTCACAAGAGTTCCTGGTATTCCTGTATCTAATCTCATAAGACCATTGAGTAGGCCCATTGAATCAGTGGGGATTTGGTGACACAACTCTTCTGTAAGTTCCACTGATTTGGTGGACCTGGGCTAGTTGTGACTCACTCTTGGATGTCAGCCATCGTTTTCCAGTACAGTAATTACACTATTTATAGTCTAATGGCACAACTTGTAACAAATGACCATTTGTGTCCATTTCTGTTTCTGAAGCAGGCATAGGTATATTAATGAAGCTTTATTAATCAAGCAGGCCCCAAAATAGAAGAGTTTGGGAATTAAAAACAGGATTAGGGAATATGGCCTAAAAGCACAATTCGCCTCCGCTACCAATTCCTCCAACCAATCTCATGTTCTCCTCCGCCCTAACTAATGGCAGCAAGAATGCTCAGTACTGTATTCATGAAATTGTTAGGGGAGGGAGTCCTTTTTATAAAATAACTACCCTGTTTCCCTGAAACTAAGATTAATATTGTAATACAATTGTAATATATGTCCTACCCCCAACATAAGCCCCAGTTAAGTGAAACCCTGCTCTCCACCACTGTGCAGCAACCAGAAGAAGATGACATGACTGTATTCAAATAAATGTAGATGGTTGTACATGAAAAAAATAAAACGTCCCCTGAAAATAATCCCTAATACTTTTTTGGAGCAAAAATTAATATAAGACCCTGTCTTATTTTCGGGGAAACACAGTATTTACTTGTATTCTGAATACCTGGGGAGTCACATGAAAAGTGAGAAACCACTATCGTTTTAATACACTGTTGGATCATAAAATGAACAAGTGGGGACTTACATTAAATGTCACAACATCTAGCAGGAGTGCTGAGGCTTAGGGCTGCAAATAGTATGATACAGGAGCCTTGTTTGCGGGGCTCAGAGGCACATAGAGATTGGGAACTTTCAGGTGGAGTAAAAGTGATGCTTCTCTTTCTATCTTTCTGAAAACTGTTCTATTGTGCTATGCAGTGCTGAAGGGCAGGGCTGCTTGTATAGCAAGTGGAAGAGGTTTCTGGAAAGAGAAAAGGAAAAAGGTATAGTGAAAGAGTAAGAGTTGGAATTTTTAATCTCACTGTATGCATCAGTATGCATGAAGAAATTACACTTGGCTACAATATAAAGCAGTGAATATGCAGCTTGTTTAACAGTGTAAATGTCCTGTCCCCTCAAAATAACGCAACACACAGGCATTAATGTCTAAACTGCTGGCAACAAAAGTGAGTACACCCCTAAGTGACAATGTCCGAATTGGGCCCAAGTAGCCGTTTTTCCTCCCTGGTGTCATGACACCCGTTAGTGTGAAGGAGGAGCAGGTGTTATCGTTCTCACTCTCTTAGACTGGTCACTGGAAGTTCCACATGGCACCTCATGGTAATGAACTATCTGAGGATCTGAAAAAATAAATTGTTGTTCTACATAAAGATGGCCTGGGCTATAAGTAGATTGCCAAAACCCTCAAACTGAGCTCCAGTATGATGGCCAAGACCATACAACAGTTTAACAGGACAGGTTCCGCTCAGAAAAGGCCTCGCCATGGTCGACCAAAGAAGGTGAGTGCCCATGCTCAGCGTCATATGCAGAGGCTGATTTTGGGAAATAGACATATGAGTGCTGCCAGCACTGCTGCAGAGGTTGAAGAGATGGGGGGTGGGGTCAGCCTATCAGTGCTCAGACTGTACGCCGCACACTGCATCAAATTGGTCTCCAGGGTTGTCGTCCCAGAAGGAAGCCTCTTCTGAAGATGATGCACAAGAAAGCCCACATACGGTTTGCTGCAGAGTAGCAGACTAAGGACATGGATTTCTGGAACCATGTCCTGTGGCCCGGTGAGACCAAGATTACAGTGGTACCTCGCTAGATGACAACCTAGCAAAATGACGACTCCGCATGACAATGAGGTTTTGCGATCGCTATAGTGATTCGCAAAACAGTGATTCCAGTGGGCGATTTTCGCTGGACAGTGATTTGATCCGTGCTTTGCAGACTGTTTTTTTGCAAGACAACGATTTTTACAGCTGATCAGCAGCTTGCAAAATGGCTTCCCTATGTTTTCGGGACCGATGCTTCACAGGGCAGCCATTTTAACAGCTGATCAGCGCTTCGCAAAATGGCTGCCCTATGGGCGATCTTCGCAAAACGACGACTGTTTTCCCCATTGGAACGCATTAAATGGGTTTCAATGCATTCCAATGGGGAAACGGTTTTCAGAAGACGATGATTTCGCTAAACAGCGATTTCTATGGAATGGATTATCATCATCATGCAGGGCACCACTGTTACTTATTTGGCTCAGATGGTGTCAATGCATGTGTGGCGGCAACCAGGTGAGGAGTACAAAGACAAGTGTGTCATGCCTACAGTCAAGTATGGTGGTGGGAGTGTCTGGGGCTACATGAGTGCTGCCAGCACTGGGGAGCTACAGTTTATTGAGGGAACCATGAATGCCAACAGGTACTGTGACATACTAAAGCAGACCATGATGCCCTCCCTTCGGAGACTGGGCCCCAGGGCAGAATTCCAACATGATAACGACCCCAAACACACCTCCCAAATGACCACTGCCTTGCTAAAGAAGCTGAGAATAAAGGTGATGGATTGGCCAAACATGTCTCCAGGCCTAAACCGTATTGAGCATCTGTGGGGCATCCTGAAATGGAAGGTCTCTAACCTCCACCAGTTCTGTGATGTCATCAGGGAGGAGTGGAAGAGGACTTCAGTGACAACCTGTGAAGCTCTAGTGAATTCTATGCCCCAGAGGGTTAAGGCAGTGCTGGAAAATAATGGTAGCCACACAAAATATTGACACTTTGTGCCCAATTTGTACATTGTCACTTAGGGGTGCACTCACTTTTGTTGCCAGTGGTTTAGACATTAATGGCTGTGTTTTGCATTATTTTGAGGAGACAGCACATTTACACTGTTACACTGAAATGTCACCCATATTATTTTTGGGTGACCCCATTTTACTGCTGAACTGGTGGTGATATTCTAATAACATTCCATTTCTTGGAAGATTTTTTGTTTGCTTGGTTTTAAACATAACTTGATATTTTATCAATTTAATACAGTATTATATTTTATCTTACTGAGTTTACTGAAATTGGAAAGATCCAAGTTAGATTTGAATACATGATGTTGTTCTTCTCTTTTTTTAAAAGACGGATTTGTCCTAGAAACACATTTGCCTTTATCAAGGTAAGGAAGTGAAAATGGGTGTTTGTCCTTGGTTGGTTCGAGAGGTATGAGTCTAGGTGGTGTTTCTGTTTCTTTCTCTTATTCTTGCTGACAAAACAGTAACAGCTGTTTGTTAAGAATCCAAATACAAAATTAAGTTCAACTTGTTAATTAAGACTTACAAACATAGAAGTATGACTGCAGCATAAAGGTCAAACTATCTGTTGGTCCACAAATATTTTAAATAGCTTTTTCTAAGAAGACGCAGCTTTGAAAGACTGGTAGAGGGTGCTACATCCTCCCTCTGCTGGCTTCTTCCCCATCCTGATCGGCCCCTTGCAAAACATTTTCTTAGAAGTAGGGGGGAAAAAAGATTAGCCATGTTGGTAATAAGATTTCTATTACCCGTGCTAGCGCAATCTCACTGAAAGGCTGATATGCTAGTGGTGTCCGTGTTAGATTTGTGTAACATGCTGCAGCTAATTGACGAGGTGCTAGGACATATCTCAGTTGGGCTGTTGGACATGTGAACAAGATCACCAAGCAAGACAGTGAACAAAGCATCTGGCTGATTTGGGGAAAAACTGACTGATGCAGAAGTGATAGAGTCCACATTTGGCTACAGTTTGAAGACAGAATAATTGAGGAGGTGACAGATGTTAAAATTAGGCTTAGCAAGATGCACTGATACTTTGCATTTCAACTAGAATTACCTCTACAACGCATGGGCTCAAGAAACAAAACAGTGGTTGATCGTCCATTTTTTAAAATATAAAACCCAGTAGCTGTCTCCATCTGCAGATTAAACATAGGTCCTTTCTAAGTAGAAATGAGAAGCTAGAAGATAGTTTTTATATTAACAAACCTCGAGATAATTTTAGGTTGTATTCTAAATTTGTAAAACATCAAGAGAAGTCAAGAGAAAGTAGCTCTACATAATAGTTGGGATATACAGTAGCCTTAGAGAAAAAAGTTCCATGTTCAGGTCACATGAAATCCTTTTTGTCCAATGTAGGATTCCACTTTTGAATTACTGAACTCAGTATCTGCAGATAAAGCCGCTTGGAGACAGCATTCCAGTTGCTGGAGAGCAAATCAGGAGAGGGCTGTATTCCGGTAAAGGTTCCTGTTGACTTTCAGAATACCTCCAGTTATCTAATATGGGAAACAAGTTGCTGGATTAGATGCTAGACTGTACGACAGGGTGTTATTATTCTGTCCGACTGTCAACGTCAGATATCTGACCTTGTGCAAATATTAAGCATTTGCACTTAAGCTAAAATACATGCCCTGTAGATAATATAAGTAGTATGCAAATTTTGTGCTTCCCATATTTGAAAATAAAATCCCAGAGAAGCCAGTGAATAAGTTAAAGTCACCCTGCCTCCATATGCTCACCTACAAATGCCCTCTCTGTCATCTACCTCCAGTTTTCATGTTGTGGCAGTGGGAAAAGAGAATGGTGCTTCTTCCTCTTGCCTGGCTCTATGGCCTAATGTACCATCATGGTGAAAGGCCAGGCATTGGAAGAGAAAAAGAAACTGCTATTGTGAGAGCAGTAAACCAAGTAAATGGGAGGACGAGTAGCAGATGGGAGGGGAAAAGAAGAAATTTGGAGATTTGATGGGGAATAGAAGTTCTCCACCCCTCTCTCTGAATTATAAAGAACAAAAAAAGATCCAACTGGGCTCAGAATAAAACACAATGTTTTGCACTTTGAGTGTTCTGTGTGAATTGTTCAGCTTTTCTAATTCCAGTTCTGAGCCTAACAGACTGAACTTTGTTGCTTTTATATGTGTAAAATAATTTCCAGTTAATGGCAACCCTATGAGTTAATGACTTCTGAAGGGCCATAGAAGCATCGAGTTGTAGAACTGGAGGGGACTTGTGGGTCGTCAAGTCCGCCCCCTGCCAAGGGAGCAAATCCATAGCTAAAGCATCTCTGACTTCTGCTTAAAAACCTCCAGTGAAGGAGTTCAGCAGCCTCTGAGGCAATCCATTCCACTGCAAACAGCTCTTCTGTTGAGAAGGCTTTCCTAGTGTTCAAGCAATATCTCCTTTCTTGTAATTTGAATCTATTGTTTCAGGCTTTGCCCTCTGGAACTACAGAAAACAAATTTGCTCCATCTTCCACATGACATCCCTTCCAGTACTTCTTTCTGGCTATCATATAACCTCTCAGTGTTCTCCAGGAAAGGGATTTTTGTGATTTTGTGATTCGTGGATTCTTGAGCCTCAGAAATCATCTGGAATTCCTAGGCAGACTTCTGGGACTGGGAGAGGAGAGGGAAGAAGGCAAAAATGACATCTTCCTACTACCATTACCAGATTCACTATATATACTTTAGCTGAGAAGCAGAAGGGAACACTCCTCAGTCACACTGATTGCTGAGAATCACCTTAAAGGTAAAGGTTCCCCTTGACATTTAGTCCAGTCGTGTCCGACTCTAGGGCGTGGTGCTCATCTACGTTTCCAAGCCATAGAGCCAGTGTTTGTCCGAAGACAGTTTCCATGGTCACGTGGCCAGTGCGACTAGACACGGAATGCCATTACCTACCCACCATGGTGGTCTCTACTTGCATTTGCATTATTTCGAACTGCTAGGTTGGCAGGGGAGAGTCACCTTACTGCTTCATATAAGGGCCCATATAAGGTTTATTGAGAGATTGTCCTATAGAATCTAATGGGTAGCAAAAAGAGTCACCTTACTGCTTCATATAAGGGTCCATATAAGGTTTATTGAGAGACTGTCCTATAGAATCTAATGGGTAGCAAAACTTGTGTGTTACCACTTTGCCAGTTGGAAATCATTCTGCTACTCCTATTGCCCTAATAATGACTTCTTGTCCATAACATAGGTTGCCCTTTAGGACAATCAAATACTGTATTGTAGCATGCTAATTCCTTTTAAAACATTCTATTCATGATGCAGACAGCCAGACTTTGCTTCAATCTATAAAGTATAAATTGATTTTCTTCTAAAATTCTTGGTAATATCCAGAAGCCATTGTACGTTTGCAGTAGGATTTCTAGTGCCTCTTCCTTTTTCTGAATCCAGATTGAACATCTAGCATTTCTCACTTCTAGAACAGTAAAATTAGTTGTTGCAAAATTTTGAGTGTCATGTTGAATGCTAAGAAGTTAATCTAGTAATCATATAATTACTGCAATTGTTGGCATTGATTTTCTTTGGAACTAGAATATATATTAAAGGATTCCAGTCTGTGGGCCATTGTTTTGTTTTTCATATTTTTTGGCATAGTCTTCCTAGATTTTTGTTAGATTTCTTCTCTGAAGCTTTGTATAGTTGTATTGATATCCCATTTATTCCTGATGATTTATTTGTTCAAATTTCTTTGAGAGCAGCTTTCACTTCACTCTCTAAAACTGCAGGTTTTTCATCAAAATATTATTCTGTGAAGGAATCTGTCATTGTCATGTGTCTTCTGTACAGGTCTACGATATATTGTTTCCATCTTCTCTTTATTTTATTCTGCTGAGTTGGTATATTCCTCTGTTGATCTTTCTACATATTGACTTTTGGGTTAAGTTTTTCATTGATTTCTTAGAGATTGCTTGCTTTCCTTTTTTGTTGTTCTCCTTTACTTTTTCTTTGCTATGATTATTTAAATCCACCTCCCATAGCCCCTCTTGGAAACACATTTTAATTGGGTAAAGTGGTTTGAGTTTTAGGGAAGCTAAGAGTAATATGGTCTGGAGGTTTGACTGTATCAAAAGTCTGGACTACTAACAGGGTCACTCAAGGTGGAATGGTCAAAACCGAGACATTGGGCTAAGATGTACCCATTTCTTCAGGAATTAACAATCGTATTAGCATAAGTACATTGATAGTTCCATGGTCATGGGGTGGAGACCATTTTGAAGGACAGCTACGGGAAGGTGTCAGCAGTGGAGGATCTCTCATAGACAATGACATTGACTCTCAAGCTAAATCTTGTTAGTATTATGTATAAGAAGGCAATGGTAAACCACTTTATATCTTGAAATCCCTGTCTCTATCTAAAACAAACAAGAGGTGGTGCTGGATGATGATATGCCCCAGATTGGAAGAAGGTTAGTCAGTTACTGGAAAATTGCTAAGGATAAGTATGAAAAATGCTGTTCCTAAAGAAGCAAGCAGATTAAAACTGAAAGGATATCTAATTGCTGATGTGCACAGATGCAAAAGAAAAGTCTGTTTCAGGTCAACTGATTATAAGGTGTCAAGGTAAAGTCAAAATCATAAAACATGAAGTGGAATATTTAAACATAGTAGTTGGTGTGAGGGAATTAAAATGGAGTAGAATAGAATATTTTCAGTCTGATAATTATGAAGTGTTTTATTCTAAAAAAAGGTAAACCATGGAGCTCTGCTACTGAGGCAAGACATAGCATGAGCAAATAAAGACTTTAGTACAAAGTCTGATGGAATGATATCAGTCAGACTTTATGGAAAGGTTGTCAGCATAACCATTGTTCAACTACAGATGCTATAATTGTTCCAACTACAGATGCTGAAGAAGAAACAATTCAAAGCATTCGGAGGGCAAAAATAGAAAAGAAAGTAGGATCATTTGTTAAGTGAAAAATAAAGCAGGAAAGCAACTCATAGAATTCTGTGAAGCCAGTAATATGTTTATTGAAAACACCAGCTTCAGCCTACCATACATATAACTGTGCATGCGGATATCACTGGATGGCCAAAACAGTAATTAATAGACTTTAACATTGGAAACAGAAGGTATATACAGTGGTGCCTTGCTTAACGATGTTAATTGGTTCAAAAAAACACATCGCTATGGGAAACCATCGCTAAGCGAAACACCATTTCCCATAGGAATGCATTGAAAACCGGATAATCCGTTCCAATGGGAACGGATTACCGTCCTTAAGCGAAAATGGCCGTAGGAAACATCGCTAAACGACACAATGTATCCCCCATTGGAATGCATTGAAGCCTATTCAGTGCATTCCAATGGTTTTGCGATGTCTGTTTTTGCAATTTTAAGTGTATCTTAAAAGGTTCAAAACCAGTTTTAAGTGCTTGGGATCGTTAGTGCACCTTCTAAAACGTGTGCAAACTTAATTTGGCTTTGTTCTGACTCTTCGTTAATTTTTGGTGAATTTTTTCCCCCATTGAAATGCATTGAACCCAATTTTGACAGCTGTCAAACCTGCAGTTCAATGCTTTCCAATGGGGGGGGGGAATTTCACCAAAAATTAACGAAGAGTCAGAACAAAGCCAAATTAAGTTTGCACACTTTTTAAAAGGTGCACTAACGTTCCCAAACATTTAAAACCGTTTTTGAACCTTTTAAGACACTTTAAAAATAGCGAAAGCGGAACATCGCAAAATCGCTCCAAAAACCTCATCGCTAAGCGAATACATCGTTAAACGAGGCAATCGCTAAGCGAGGCACCACTGTACTGTAATTAGTCTGTCTGCCAAAGCAGGAGTGGATGGTGGTATACAGCAGGAACTCTAAATATGAGAAAGTAGAGTACAGTTGAAAAATAAAATCACAGAATATAATTTAAACAATATTTCCTGAAGAATTTAAAGATAGTCTGAAGAACAAATTTGTACTACTGAACTCAGTTAACTATGAATGAGAAGAATTGTGTATTGAAACAAGATATAAGAGTAGAATGCAAAAAGATGATTCATATAGCCAAAAGAAAAGCCTGAACGGATGAAGAGCAGCTCTTAAAGCTGCTAAAAAGAGATGAGAAGCAAAAGTGAAAGTAAATGAAAATAGGTCCAGAATCCTAAATGCAACATTTCAGCAACTTCTATGTGAGAAGGGAAAGATATAATGACCCCATTAAAAGGTATTAGAAGCAGACAGCAAAAAAGAGAAAAGATAGAGCTTATCACATCCCTAATAATAATGCAAGCTTGGGATCATGTGATAGCTATAAGAAACTCAAGGTTCTGTTTTGCATTGTGTTAATGTTATTTGAACTATCTAGGACTACACTACAGTGCAGTGCCTACTCAGAGCAGAAGTCAGTACCACTGAGTTCAGTGAGATTTACTCCCAGATAACAATGCCCTCTGAGGTAGCATAGCTCTTGAAGACTGAAGATTGGCCAGCCAACATCACACAGAGCATGTGTGGCTGAGGGGGTTATGTGCCTTGCTGCTTGCGTGGTCTTGGGGAAGATGCCTGCTTCCGGAGTGTCACCAGAAGGAGGATCTGGTAAACCACTTCTCAGTACTCTATACATAGAAGACCTTAATGAGGGATGCCATAATGAGGGTCAGAATGAACTTTGCAGCATATAATTATGATTTCCCAAGAGAGACCTCCAGACTGGTTCCTATAGAAAGAAGAAGTTAGAGAAATTATTATAGTAATGAAAAAGCTAATTGGCTTATCCCTTGAAAAAAGTTACAGGCACAGTTTAGTATCGGGATGAACCTAATACACAGATGGCTACTGACAGGTATGTCTACCTATATGTGACAGGAAGCTTTGCTGGGTGGCAGATAGGTATTGGCTTGTATGCACATAGTTACCTCTGATTGTAGCAGTGTTCTGGCAAATAGCTGCAGGCAGTGTTGCTGCTCAGTGGCGCCACAACAGTGTGGAAGATCATTCAAGCAACCTCTCATTTGTTTGCTGTAAGATGTAACGCAGTGATCTGCAGAAAGCAAATGAACTAGAATGCAGAGTTATAATAGTTTAAGAATGTTTAGATGAGCAAGTGGCGTTAGTTATGATTTCATGTTCTTTAATGTCAGATGTGCCACTTTTCTTGAAGGCAGATTTATTTTTAAGTATAACTTCTAGATGAAAAACTTCCACATACACTTATTCTGAAATTTGTTTTATCTTATACTAGGCACAATGGTTTAGGAAGGACAGACATAATGAAGGTAAAAATATTTTTCCGGAATTATATTTACCTCTATAAGAGGTTTCCACATGAACATTTAATATTTTTAACTGAGAAAACTTTCAGTTTTAATCAACTTAGTCTGCCTTATCTATGATAAAGCACAACATTCTGTAACTTTTTTTACAGTGCTGTATTGCAACTCACAGTAATTCTGAAAATGAGATAAATCATAAGGAAGAATCTTAAAGCAGAATGACAAGTCTTACCACTGGTTCTTCTATCTTATTTCAGGAACAAAAGAATAAACACTATGGAAGGTTGCATGTGTTTGGCCCCAAAGGTAAATAGTCTGTAACATAGTTAGAAGCCATTCGTGTTTTATTAGCACAGTCTACCAGGATCTAGAGACAGAGCTGGGATTATGCAGGTGAAGATATAGAGTTAGTAATTCCAGTTGAGTTGTATGGGGAGTAATCAACAGGTTGCAAAAGAGGATTCTGTGAAGAGGCAAAGCTGGTCCAAGACAGCTTGCTGCCTGAGGCGGAATTGAAGATGCCTCCACCCAACTAAAGCAACATGGAAGAGGAGTGCCAAGACTAGAAGAGGGGTTGCCACCTGTTTGGAAGTTGGAACTATGAACACCTGCCCAGAGGGAAGGGCTAAGTGAATTGGTTGTACCCCTTCTTAAAATATGTATTGCACCTCATCATTTGTGGGTATGGCTGCTTCCAAATGTCAGACTGTCACCCAGCACACGTACTGAGGGAGAAAGAGCATTGCACATACATGTGAACACCTGAAACTAGGACTGCCCCCACCCCTTGGAGCCAGGCCAGCATTCTCCTCATCCTTCTATTTCACTAAAGAGTGATCACTAGCTTTTCTACTTACCATTTCACCTCTGCATGGATTAGAAATCAAGATACAGAGGCCTTGCAAGATGATTTTAATTTGTTCCATGGAAATCGCTGTTTTCTGAAAACATCGTCTTGTGAAACCCAATTCCCCATTGGAATGCATTAAAATCCATTTAATGTGTTCTAATTGGGAAAAATATCACTGTCTTGCAAAAATTATCCATAGAAGTCCATAGAAAACATCATCTTGCAAAACACAGTTCCCCATATCATATTGGGGAAAAGCAATCCCCTCACCTGCACTGCTTTTGGAAATTCAATGGGTCTCAGCCTTCCCCCTCTTTCTCTCTCCAGCAACAAAGAAAGGGGATAAAAGGAGTCAAAGCAGCCCCCTGGCTCCTGATAATGATGACTCCTTTTGCCCTGATCCTTTACCACAAGGGAGAAAAAGAGAAAGAATGCAATACAAGACATCACCAGGATTTGCTGCCTTTGAAATAGGTCCTGATGAGAAGAAAGAGATGAAAAGGAATCTAGAAAGACCATGGAAATCAAAAGTTCAATCTCCCATTAACACAAATTAGGCAGTTGAGTTCCCCACTTTTGGGGAACAACAGCACACCCAAAGTACAATGGATGAGGGCTGCACAGAGGCCAAGAGAGCTCCTCAGTGTTTCCAGGATTTGCTGCCTTTGAAATAGGTCCTGATGAGAAGAAAGAGATGAAAAGGAATCTAGAAAGACCATGGAAATCAAAAGTTCAATCTCCCATTAACACAAATTAGGCAGTTGAGTTCCCCACTTTTGGGGAACAACAGCACACCCAAAGTACAATGGATGAGGGCTGCACAGAGGCCAAGAGAGCTCCTCAGTGTTTTGGGGTTGTAAAAATGGTTTTCCCAGGGAGAGGCTCATCCATTGCACTGTGCTGTTGACCCTTGTGATTTTCCTAAATGTGGGGAACTCAACTACATAATTTATGTTAATGGGGGCATTATGTTTGTGATTTCTCTGGTTTTTTGAACAATCTTTTTATCCTTTGGTTCCTGGCTGTTTTCACCAAACAATCTTTTTATCGTTTGGTTCCTGGCTGTTTTCACCATTCTCTACCATTTAAATTTGCAGCCATAGCCCTATTGGTGATGCTTTGCTAGATGGTTTCCCCCCCATTGAAATACATTAATTACATAAGATCTCCTTTTTTATCCCAAAAAAAGTGGGGGAGAAAGTGTATGCTGCTGGCTTTCCAGGAAGAACAGCAGCATACACTTTCTCCCCTACTTTTTTGGGATGAAAAAGTAGGTCTTATGTAATTAATGTGTTCCAACTGGGGGGAAAACCATCTTGTGAAACAAACCTGTCTTACAAGGCCAGGACCCAAACATTGTCCAGCCAAAATTGCCCATAGGAACAATTGTTTTGTGAAGCACAACATTGCTCAAAAAGGACTCAAACATTGTCTAGCAAAAATTGCCCATAGGAACAATCGTTTTGTGAAGCACAACATCACTCAAAAAAGTCATTGTCTAGCGAATTCCTCATTTTGTGAGGCAATCGTCTAGCGAGGCACCACTGTACAAAATTGTTTTTGTCCTTTTACCATCTTCTAGTCTGTTTCCACCAGACTTCTATGGCTATAAAGGTTTGTTCTCCTCCTCACATACTGTCTCCCTTCCTTCTTTTGCTCTCCTACTTGCTGCCTTCCTTTCTTCCCTTTTCTTCCTCTTTTTTTTGGCAATATTCCTCCAAGCCCGTATTAGTGTTTCACTCATAGTTCTAATAATGCTGCTAATTGACACGGATAGAGCTGTTAGGAGACCGGGCACATTTTCATAACAGATCAGGGGGCAGCCTGGAGAGTGGGCAGGTAATGCGCAAGGCTGTGCCAGGTGTCCATTCAGTTCCATTTGCAGGACTTCCACAGAATCTAACCAAGGCCATATGACACCCATCCCCACTCTTTTTGGGAAGACACCTCTCCTGCCCATAGGAGACCTACCTGGTACACAGTCAATTGCCCATTTTCAGAGCAAGTGGAAGGGTTATATCTGATGCTGGCAGAACTACTCATGTAGTGCAGCTGCACAAATGGGGGTTGTGTCAAATTTAAGTTTTTGTCTTCTTTTTTTGAGGAAAGAGATCTAGAGTATAGCTCTCGGGAAAAGCCTTGGGCACTATTAGACTGTACTGGTTTACATGTATTTTATTCTGTTAAAAAATGTCTGTTTAAAACAATATTATAGTGATTTCTTAGGGAACATTTAAAATTATCCTTTCCTTTATGTTATCTTCCAGGATGGTAATTGGATTGACTAAACTGAATGTATATCAAGTGAATCAGGTCTTTTCTTTTTAAACAAAATGTTATATTTTTGTTTTTAGAAGAGGTAGTTATTGAACCAGTTCAAACACTTCCACGGTAAGATGTCATTTATTATGTAGCTATGTATATTATATGCTTTTATAAATAGTCGAAGCTAGATAGTATGATTCCTGGTCATTAATAGTATATAGTATATAAGTTTACTTTGAAATAAATCTGGCAGGCTTACTCCAAATTACTCCCATTACTTCCAAGTAATGTGTACATGAAGACACTGACTCAAAGTAAGAACACTCTTTGAGTTACATGTGAAGGACTAGAAGTATATGCATTAATGCTTTAATCTTTGGTTCATTTGTCATGGATTTTAATAGTTTCTTCAGGATTTTCTTCTTTTGGATAGCACAGCTGCATTTGTTTTTTTCTCTACCCATGGCCCTTTTGGGAATTACACATCACACTAGAACAGTTATCAAGATTTGTCATTTTTCTTCTGTTTTAGAGGGTGCCAGCTAACATCTTCTATGATATGCTTGTTTCGATCACGAGAACAAAACCAGGTTTCTAGTAGATAATTTCACAGTAGCTCTGTGCTCTCTCAGACACTGCCCCTTCATTTCTTATCCTGATTGTTGTGTGAACAGTAGGGAAAATATGGATTGTATTTTCTGAAATCCCCAAACTGAATGGGATATTGGGAAGAGTTCTGTCCAGTTGTCTGTCCAATCTCCCAGTCTTTTCTTTGATCGTAGTTTTTCACACCTCCTGATCCCCAGCAATCACTGTTATCCATTCCCTTGTGCCTTACAACAATTGCAACAACACAGGCGGAAGCTGCATAAGCTGTCAGCCAAGGACCCCTGGCCATCCCACAATTTAGTTGTTTCATACAAAGGCACTTTCAGGAGTGGAAGCTGCTAGCAGCGTCACCAGGTCTCTTATTGGTCTTTGGGGGCTTTCAAAGCTGTAGCACAACTCTTTCCCTTCTCCTGCTGCAGAGGTGAGGAACGTGTGGGCCTCCACATGCTGTTGGACTTCAGCTTTCATCAAACATATCCAGCATAGTGAGGGGTCATGGATGACGGGTTTTAGTTCAGCTTTCCAGCAGGAAAATGCAGGTTATCTGGTGAAAGATAAAGCCTGAGATCTCTTGCAACACCTTTCTCGATTAAGTTGTGATAGTGCTACTCGCTCCTCTCTCAGCTTATAGGGTTAGGCTGCTTGGTCCTGTAGAATAGTGATCCCCAACCTTGGGCCTCCAGATGTTCTTGGCCAGCAGAGGTGGTGTTGAAGGCTTCTGGGAGTTGTAGTCCAAGAACATCTGGAGGCCCGAGGTTGAGGACCACTGCGAAGTCAGATATCCAAAGATAAGTGATTTTCTTGGTTTGCAGTGCAACATTTATAATTTGGGTAACTGATACTAGGTTTCAGAATCTGTTCACAGATGCAGTCTTTTGGCCTAGTTTCTTTGTATAGGATTTCAATTGGGCTATATAGGTTCAATGCTGAATTCATCGAGATTTTGTCTTATTTTTTACGTTATGTTAAGTTTTTTAAAATGATCTGTCAAGTTGCTTTGTTAACTGAGTTGAACTGGGTTACCGTCCCCTGCAGTATGTAATTTCAGTTGTTTACACAAGTTATCCAGGGATAGTCTGTGTAAATATCTCTTGCATTTAACCTGCTGTTGTTAATAAGGCATTCTTATCTGGCCTGAACATGTTGATCTACTGGGAGGGCTCCAGGCCTCTTGCCTTTGCATAGGGAGGTTGGACTAAATAGATTTTTAACCCTATCCAACTCTGTGATCATATTTAGTGCAAACTGTATAATTCATGCCTCCTGCCCATGAGTAATTTGTTAAATTGTATTTGTTGCAACTTATCCTGTTTCCAGTCCAGTCCCCTGCATAGACACAGTGTGTTGCTAAGGATTGTTTTTAATCCAATGTATTTATTTTATTTGTATCCACATTTCTATACAGGTCATGCTCAGGTTAACTAACAACAGTATCAAGGAAGATAAAATACCATCAATTTAAACATAAAAGCAAATCAATTAAAAATTCATTATTATAATTAAATAAGCCACACCCACCTTTTAAAACCCATCTCAGAAAAAACGATGTTGGCTTAAAGGCCACAGCCTGTGTGAATAACTATATCATTGCCTGGCTGGAGAAGAGCCTCAGGGGGTTGGGGAAGTAGCCCAGTTCCTCTTGATAGTGGGTTCCAAAGCCTGGGAACATGTGTTGTAAAATGTCTCAGAAACAATAGCCATTTTCATGTTAAGGTGTTCTAACAAGAGTTGTACGGAATACAGCTGAAAACTACATTCATATCAGCAACTGGGTTAATTTCTACTGCAAATCTGTTTTATAGAATAGATATTTTACTGTTGTGCCATTTGCTATGTATGTAAGTAGCAATCCTGTATTTTACTCATGTGAATCCTGCTTCAGTTGGTCTATATTTTAAATAGATGTATTTCTGATTGCCCCCTAACTATGAAAGATGAGCAGGGTATTCTAGGTTTGGCATAATGCAATAGAAAGTTGGCACTTGTTTGCTAGATAAACCAAAGACTTTCAATGTGAGATTCACTGCAAGAGCAACTGAAATTCTGTGATGATATAGCTTTACTAAGCAGTCTTGTGTAGCAATAATTAAATTAAATTTTAGAAGTTTATTGATTACTACACAGTTTGAATCACTTAATTTATGCACATATTCTGTATCTTGTTTGACTTGCTACTAAATCTAAATAAGATGCTGGTATCTGGAAGTACAGAATACAAGGAAGGGAGAAATAAATAAAAGGCTGCAACAAAGCAAAGTTTGGTTAGAAGCTTTGTATTGTGGTGGAACAATTATTCTCTCATTCATGGTTAAACTTCCTGTTGGAGTTCATTTTTCTTTTATTTTCTTTTTGTTTTTTCAACTAAGGCAGCCTGGGATGTGGAAATGAATCTGCAAGTAGACCTTACACTCCATCAAAGCAGATCTTGTTATGTGCTGCTAAATCATTAGAAAAGTAAGTCTCACTTCAGTTGAGTTCTTAATTAATTCTGTTATGAGAACAAAATGCTGACATAGAGCTTTTTCAATAGTTAACTATAATCTTTTTGTACAACACTGCCGATCTCACCTAATTCTTAAGACTTTCTCTTGAAACACTGTGATTAAAATCCTGTTGAATAACTTACATGTTTGGAAGGGGGGTGCTGTCTTCAGTAGGGGGCAATTTTTGGTAATTAAAAACATCCCAATTCTGTTCCACATATTTTCTTACTCTCCTGTAATTCCTTTCATTGTGTGAAAGCTGTGAGGGCTGCTAGTTACACAAAATCTCTCCCTGCCAGTAATGTTATCTGGTGGTAGGAATTTTCAGTAATTAAATACTTCCTCCATCTGTCCTGTGACTCCCACGGCTTCCATGTGACAAAAAGGACTATATGAGAGCTTGTCTTGTCTTGACTTGACTATATGAGAGCTGAAAAAGCCATTGGACAGAAGTAGGAAAATTTTAATTACAAAAATTGGTCCCTACTGGTGACATCATGACTTAATGCCCTTCTACAGGAAGTTATGCTGCAGGATTTAAGCCTATGAGGCTTGTGTGTACATGATGCTTGTCAGTGGGAAACAACAAAAAGCCCAACATGGTAAATTATCTAGCAGTATACTGAGGAGCACGTAGTTGTCATATTGACGTCCTCTGCTCCTTCACTAGGTATTACTAGCAGTTATTGCAAGCAAGGAGTGTGGTGCAGTGGTTTCAGTATGGGAATGGGATTTGGGAGACCCGGGTTTAAGCCCTCACTGAGAAATGAAATTAGCTGGGTGGAGATTGGAGCAATCTCTGTCTGTGTAATCCATCCTACAGAGCTATTGTGAGGTTACACTACAGAGGAGAGCCATTTTGAGCTCATTGTGGAACATGCAAATGTAACAGATTAATTTCGGTGAGGATACGGAGGTAGCAAATGCAGTGATGAGCATTTCTAAATTATATATTCAAACATCTTTGTTTGTGCTGGAAGCAATCCAGTGGTGCTTCTGGGATGGACAGTAGATCAACATTAGTTCCAGGCAGCCTTTCTTTTTTTGTCAAGATTAAATAGACCCACAATGTCTTCTACCTTTTAAAAAAAATGTGTACACATTATACTCCAAGAGGCACTTGTTGTCATGACTAATTAACTTTCAGATAGTTATTTTGACCTGATAATACTTTACCTTTGCAACAGGTAGCATATTGTAGAAAGTGACTTCAAAGCATATTAGTGCTGTAGCCCCAGTTTTTATTTGTAAAAATATGTGTTACTTGTCTTGCAAAAAGTAGATGGAAGGATTTAACCAGGATTACACAAAATAAAAATCCAAATATGAGTGTAAGACTGCATGGCTGCATAGCAGAAGAACTGGGTAAGTTTGCTGTTTCCATGAGCTTGTGTGGTTCTGTGTTGTTAGACTGATACTTGGGACACATTTTCCCTTTTCTATATATGTAGATAGCTTCAACTTCTAAAAATAATGGAAATCACTTAGACCTGTAGTTCAGAGTAAGTGGGAAAATGGAAATATGGAGATTGGCAGGAACATTACATGCATTCAGTGTCACTCTGAAGAACATTTCCCACAAGGGTCAATAGAACTTCTTTTCTCCCCTTTCCATCACCCTTTGTTTGCTCAGTCAAATTATATAACCTTACTCTCATCAGTAGAGATGGGGGTATTTGTATTATATACAAATACCCCTGCACAGGTGGACATAACAAGGGTCCACTCACCCGTCTGCTGCTAACACCGGCTCCACATTCCCTTCCAATCACTCTGGAGCTCACGGTCAACTAGCCACTCCTGGAAGAAGGAGGGAAGATGAACCTCCCTGCCAGGCTGACAAGTGGCTAGTTGACTGCAAGCTCCAGAGCAATTGGAGAGGGAGCACAGAGCTGCTGCAGCAGCAGACTGGTGAGTCAACGGTCTGGCCCCAGTGGGACCAGACCCTCGTTATGTCAACCATGTAGGGGTATTTGTATACAAATACAAATACTGTATCCCCATCTCTACTCATCAGTGCTTTTTTGGCTGAAATTTTGTTGCACTTGGCATAGCATAAAGTTATGCCCACTGATGTTTGTGGGAAAAATTCCAGCACTTCCACAAGACAGTTGCTAAAGGGCACTTCCTTGGGACCCACCTTATGAGTGTATATCCAAAACCCAGTCTTCACCAAACTTAGAGGGACTGTAGAGGAGAGTCAGGAGAAGCTTCTCTGTGATGTTGGTGTCTCAAGGTGTCTATAGGGGGGCAGCTCTTTGTGAGTGTATAATTCAGATGTATGAAACTCAAACTTCACCAAACTTGCAGGGCTTGTAGAGGAGAGTCAGGGGAAACATCTCTGTGATTTTAATGTCTCTGGGTGTTGGAGGGGGAGTTTTAAAGTCAAGACAAAATGAGAAATTGATTTGTCAGAAACAAGCGTAAATTTGTGATTCATCAGTCTTGATGAAATATGAATCACAACACATCACTATGTTTTCAATTTGTGCCCACCACTATTAACATACTTTGAAACATACATACCTATTATTACACGTTCTGTATTTTTGAAATTCAGTTTCTCAGTGATCGTCTACTGCAGCTAGTAGCATGCATTCCAGCAAGCATTTCTCCTCCCTCTGAAATGAAAGGAGATAAAGACTGAATGAACAAACAGTTTGGCACTGTGATTACTGAGTACTCTGATTTTACAAGTAGGGAACTTGCTTTTATATTACTATGTGTTAGTTTAAGTAGTATATGAAACAAACTATTTGTAAGTGAAATAGTGTAACTTTCTCTACTTACAGAGCAAAGTAAGTTTGAGAGTAGTACTGCCACTTTTATTCTTGACTGACATGTGCTTCTGCCTGATTTTTTTTTGTTCTTATCCCCAGAAATTCGCAATGATGAAAAACTAAGAAGTGATTTGCAAAGACTGAATCATGAAACTAAAATAATTGAGGCTAAGACAGAATCAGATGTCAATGGTTGGTTCAAACAAAATATTATTTTAAACATTGTTTCAAAAGGATATTTGCTTGGCTGTATGAAAGAGATGCGGTTAATATGTGTTTTTCATCTTGATGTGAACCTTAATTTTATAGTGCAAACTTGAGCAAAGGCAGAATTAGCTCAGAGGGAATGCAGAACAATATTCTAGCCATGTACTCTTAGTATTTCCTTAGTGAAATACCATTCCTTAACTAACATTTAGTACCTGATATTGGCAGGAGAAAGATTCTGATACATTTCTTCCATCCTCTGCTATACCAGCAATGCCGTATGTGGTCCTGTCGTTGCAATGTTACAGATATAAAATGGGATATTTTTCAGTGGGATGTCTTGTTAATATGAAAACATAGACAAAGGGAATCTTTTAACATATGTTACAAAAGGCACTATCTTAGGAGAAACATTGTCTCTCAGGATCACTTTTCAAATGAATAAAAAATTGATAACCAAACCGGTATTCAAACCAAAGCAAGGCTCTGGGCATGTAACGAAAGGGGATGAATTAAATAGCAATCTTTCTATTTCTCCTCACCGTATTTTCTCTTTTTGAAAAAGTGTCAGTTGTAGACAAGTCAACTGTCATAAATAACTTTTTTCTACTCTTGAAAAAAGCTGATTTCCATATTCAGTATAAATAACTTACCTACTTCTTTCAATTATCTTTTTGTGAGCTCAGCTGTAGTATCATAAATTGTTTGTGATGTCATGACTCACTCAGACAAATAGGTGACTAGGCAGATATAGATGTTTCAACACACACAACTGCCCTGTGGATATTGGCTAACAGGACTAACAACCATGAAGTAAACTATGGAACGTAAGGCACTTGGTAAGTGAGTTCCATGATCAAATGGGAGGATAGAAAATGCAATCCAGATCTGGTAGGTTCAGATGGAAATAGGAAAAGGGAAGTTATAAAGACCTGTGGTGGGCCTTAGTAAGACATAATTAGGTATTTATATTTAAAATTTTTATTTAGAATATTATTTAACAGGCCTTCATCTAGAGACTTTTAGATCCAGGGTGATGTTCAAACGTGTGAATAAATCCATTTGCACAGACATGGGGCACACATCTTGGAATCCAGATTCTGGAGAGGGGGGGAAACCATCATTGCATCATCCATCAAAAATAACAGGCAAACACCAGTAGGGCCAAAGGTACAAGTCCAATGTAGTTACAGAATTGTTGATAGACAAATGCATTTATCGCTTCACAAAACTCAGGAATTCCAATGCATTGGAAAGGGGTGTGTGAGACATTTGTTCCACAGAAATTGAGAGTTCTGGAGTTCAGAGTTTTGGTGTATCTTTCACCAACTCACCTGTTAAAAATTTCACAACCTGTCTTCTTGGAAGCAGTTCAAAAGATTTATAGATTACTGCTATCTTAACTTAAAGATGTGCCAGACATAGACAGGGTGGAATAGACAGAAGCTTCTTTTGCAGCATAAATGCTCTTCTGTTAACAGAGCCTCCTTCACAAAGACTTCTGGCTGACTTCAGAGACCCCTTTCACTCACTAAGGTCTTTTATGCAGAAGAATTTAAAAGGGGCAGAGCAAGGGAGGGCCTAAGTTATGCCAGATCCATCCTTCTTCTAGCCTAGTGGCACAGACATATGTCAGTGCAAAGCTAGGCCAAGCTGAGGTTAGTACAAAGTCATTTCCAGCATCCTTAAATGGGATTTTCACAACTTCAGCTGGCCTGTTGTCAGCTCATCTGAACCTGAGCTGTCTTAAGTAATTGGAATGGTGCTCAAATTAGAAGTGTGCTCTGACTTAGCTTCTTCCATGTGACAAATCAGTAGTAATGCACAATATGTGTTGGAGATCATAATGAATAATGAAGTTAGAAGGGGCCTATAAGGCCATCAAGTCCAGGAATAGAAATCAAAGGATATCTGCCAGGTGAGTGTCTAAGTTCCTCTTGAATGCCTCCAGTGTTGGAATACTCACCGCCTCTCAAGGTAATTGGTTTCACTCTCTTACAGTTAGAAAGTTTTTCCTGATATTGAACCGAAATCTGTAACTTGAGATAACTAGGTGTAACTCAGCTTACACTGAAGAACATGCATGTCTTTGCAGGGGAAGAATTAGATAGAAATATAACTAAGCTTATTTACTTAGAATCAGAAGTGTGGGTGTGATTTCCTTCCAGAAAGGAGAAATCTGCCGTGCTAGCCATTTAATATTCAGCACTGAATCACACATTTTGTTACCAGCTGCTTGGTGTAGCTTGCTCCGCTGATAGATTATGGTCTGATATTCCAGAAACTAAGCTTACTGAGAAATAGAATTCAGCAGATGTGGTGTTTGAGTTCATATTAATTAAAGTCACATTGGAGTTTGGAGTACTTCTCTGAACTAAAAGAGAACACATACAGGACAGCTAAGAAAGAAAGAGAAGAACACTTAAAATCCCCAAGAGACCACAGTAACACCTATGGGCCTTTAGCATGCAGTCTCGGCTCCAACAAGAAAATGTATTGCTCTCAGAACAAAAGATCCTGCAGTTAACGCAAGTACAATCAAACAGAGAACTGATTTTGAGGAAGACTAAAACACTGCAGATATAATAGTTTCTCTGTTGATTAAGAGCCAAACTGCACATATTTGAAGGTACAATAAAGTCAAAGATATATGAGAGGTATTAAATTTAGCTCTTGCAACAGAAAGGGTGAATTCCATCTGATCACAACACAAATCTCTAAACATAAAGATGAGAAAGGGACAATTGTTGAAAGCTTGCTTCATTTGATTCTTAAACTTGAACAGAGCTTGACATAAGCAGGAATTTTAAGGCACAATCAGTAAGTAACATCTTTCTTTGAATCACTTTCAAAGTCTTTAGAAACATTTTCCCACTGTAGCGTTCACCCCTGTTACACAATAAGTTATGTATTATACATGAATTATATGCTAATATGTTTAAAAGGCACGACCATAAGAGATGTTAAAAGGCATAGCCTGAGAGAGGAGGAGTTAAATCGAAATTGAGTCTGAGTCAGTCTAAGTCTGAGGTCAGTCTGTGTTAGGAATCAGAGAGAGAAGGATAGTTTGGGGTCTGAGGAGTGATTAGTCTGAATGTAAACTGTGATAATTAGTATAGAGGGTTAATATTGAAGCTTGATGAAACTTGAAGAATGTGCTTATGAATTGTTCCAGAAACCAACTATAATTTTTTAAAAAACTGTCCTATAAAAAAGTCAGTACTGAATGGACCTTCATCTTTTCTAAGTTGATAAGGAGGTCAGCTGGTGGCAGCGTGTCAAGAGGTGTTTTGGTTTGCCTTTGTGAGCTCTGTGTTTAGTGAGACAAACAGGGGCCACACCCACCAAGAGCCACAAACAGAATCACAGACTTTCAGTCAATTGTACCTGTTGTAAAAGCAGAATGTTCTGAGAGACAAGTGAATAGTGATAGCCAATGTGCAGACACAAGTGCAAAACTGAGCTCTCAAGAAATATATTATGAAGGAGTTGGGCAGCATGAACAAGGAATTATTGAAGCAGAAATAGCCACTGCTTTCTATATGGTGATGCTCAAAAAGGAATTGCTCAATAATACATGATAAGCGGATTTCTGATCAGAAAAGTAATGATACATTTAGTTCTGCTGATAGAAACTTTCAGGTGATACTGCATGTACAAAGGGGACAGAACAGACTGTGTATTCATGGGGATCAAAACATATATGTGCAAAGACCTTTTTTATAAACCTAGAACAAAATAGAAGTGCACGTGCTGACTTGCTGATGAGAGAGAATTACAGTGGTGCCTCGCAGAACGAGCGCACTGTAGAGCGATGAATTCGCTCTACGGTGACGCTTTTTCGATCGCTAATGCGATCGCAGAGCGATGGCCCCAATGGGCGAAAATCGCAGAGCGAAGGTCGGTAAGCGGTTTGCTTTGCGACCCGCCGATCAGCTGTTCCGCGGCAACAAAATGGCCGCCGGAACAGCTGAAATGGCCGCGCGCAGCGTTTTCACGCCCTCGTTAAGCGAGGGGAGGGCGCGAAAATGGCTGCCGGCCATTGAAAAACTTCGCTGAACGGTGAGTAAATCAGCCGATTGGAATGCATTAAACTAAGTTTAATGCATTCCAATGGCTTTTTTCTTACCGCTCAGTGATGTTTCACACAGCGAGGGTTAATCCAGGACGGATTAACCTCGCTGTGCGATGCACCACTGTAAAAGTAAAAGGAGAATCTTGGTCTGTGACAGTCCCAAAGATAAGATGCTCAATGATGTGTTGTATGTACAGAAATGAGCAATGGGTTTTCTGGCATTTGCGCCACCCACCTGGATGTGCCATCAGCAAAATAACAACCACCTCAAACCCTTTCACTGAGTTTGGAGTTGCTGTCTAATAGGGACTTGTCTGCCTAGAATATCCTCTTTTACCAAAACTAGTTCTTTGTATGTATGCATAGATGCTGCTTTTGTACAATTCCAGTGAAAACATACCAGATTTCCACAGCTTCCTCACAAAAACAGACATTTCTCAATGTAGCTCTTAGAACATAAACCAACATAAAACACATCAAACAGACACCATTCTGCTATACCGGTGTCTGGTACAATTCATCTTATCTATATTTAAATATGACTGCTTCTAACAAACGTATTTAAACCTATTTCAACTAAAACTGGACTGAACCACTATCTCTCTGTGTGTAGGGGTGTAAAACAGCATCTCTGCAGTCAAGCAGCATAGCAGCCAATAGAACACAGTTTCATACACACACATTCTGTCCCCCATTCCACTGTTTTAATAGATTCTTCTGGCATACATCCAACTTATCACTGCCAACCAAAACCTAGTCACTTACCAATACTTACCTGCAGTAGTAATTGAGGGCTGTCAAGTCAGTTCTGTCTTATGTTGACCTTTTTTTATAGACATGGAATATTCTGAAGTTTTATAGACATGGAATATTCTGAAGTGCCTTACATTCTGTTCTTCTGGAAATGCCCTGGGGCTGGGCTGCTTGCCTAGGGTTACATAGGCTAGCTGTTCTTCTGGGACTCACAGTGAGGAGTTGAAATCCCAGTCATGTGTTCCTATAGCCAGATAGATATACAAATGTGAAATTGCTATTGGCTTATATCAGTGACGAGGTGGCGCTGCGGATTAAACCGCAGAAGCCTCTGTGCTGCAAGGTAAGAAGACCAGCAATTGTAAGATCGAATCCACGCGACAGAGTGAACTCCCATTGCTTGTCCTAGCTCCTGCCAACATAATAGTTTGAAAGCATGTATAAATGCGAGTAGATAAATAGGTACCACCATGGTTGGAATGTAACGGTGTTCTGCATCCAGTCACACTGGCCACATGACCACGGAAACTGTCTTCGGACAAATGCTGGCTCTACAGCTTGGAAACGGGGATGAGCACCACACCCTAGAGTAGGACACGACTGGGCTAAATGTCAAAGGGAACCTTTACCTTTTATTATTTATTTGTTTGTTTAACTTATATGCTGCCCACTCTACTCAAAGGTCTCTGGGCGGCTTATAACTATTAAAATTCAGTTAAAATTCAATAAAAGATAAAATGATTAAAATACAATTAAAATTAGTTAATTCAGTTTATTACATTATAGAGAATATAAAGCTGAATTTGAAGGAGATCAAAATGGGGTAACATATAAAGAAGAAATATATTATGTAGTTTCCAAAACAAAGGACATGCATGAACACCAGTGCAGAACTGAAAGAGACATTGCATTAAAAGGCTGTACCAGGAATGCATCTGTGGCACTAAGATTTGGTCACAAGGACAATTCTAAAGTAAAGGCCTACAGAAAGGGGAGATAGCCAAGGGCATGAAAGTTACATCCTGCAAAGCATAAGGCAGGTGTGCATGCTGCATTAAAACTAAGAATACCAGACCTTTTAAAAGTAGAATGAAAGGAAGATAGCTCCCCCAAGCAGGCAGGGCAGGCAAGGCAGGCAGGCAGGCGATTCCCAAAATTTTAACTGTTTGTTCATTCTGCTATACTGGTGTCTGGTACAATTCATCTTATCTATATTAAAATACTCTTTGAGATAGGAAGAAGCTAAATAGTAACCATTTTAGAAAAGTTAATCAAATAAATCACAATATGGTCTTTCTAGTGTAAATATTTGCTGTTATTAATGTGTTAGAACAAAGCTTGTATGATATTTTAACTGTTATAACTCACATTTGCTGATTGCAACTGCCTCTTCATGTATAATGCATTGATTTTCTATAGATGAAAAAATGAAAAATTCCAAGAATTTTGAAGAGACCAGCAACAGTGAGATCCAATCTGAAATGCAAAAAGAGCATGCAGATAAACAAAATGAAGATGAGCGGTTGCCAGAGAGTTCAGATGATGATGAAAACAATGAACAAAATGATAATGTAGCTGCAAAGAGAATTGCGCCACTACAATTAATGGGAGAGGTACAAGTGATTTTAAATTGGCATTCTAGCAAAACTAGCCTTCCATGCTGAGGAAGTAAACTTCTGAATGCCTCTCAGTATGATAAATTATTCTCAAAATATGAGAGAGGTGAACTATAAATAAAACAAATAAATAAAATCTCAGTAGCTATAAAGGCCTGTAGAATGAGACAAGAATCAGCATTGTACTTGTTTAAATCGAGAGCTTGGGAAATGACTTTTTGGAGTACAATCAGAGCTCACTAGAAGTCATGCTGCCTGTGGAATTCTGGAACTAGAGTGAAAAACGACACCCCACCTTTTCCAATGTGGGCAACATATGAGTCTTCCCGTGTTGTTGAGCTGCAAATCCTGTCAGCCGCAGCCAGCAAAACCACTAGTGAGGTATGAAAAGAGTTGCAGTCCAACAGCATCTGGAATGCATATTTGCTACCCTGAGATAAGCAGAGTGTTATAGGCATGGCTACAGATAAGGCATGTAATGTGATGTCTGTCTGATGATGCTAATTTGTACGGGTCTGGAGGTTCTGCATACCACACAATACTTGCTGTATTATATATCTTTGTCTGAAAAAACTGCAGTGTGTATTGAACTTCAAGTCAGACTCTGCATGGCAGCCACTGCATTCTGTTGGGGTCTTGAGATGGGTTGAGTGATGTTCAAACCAGGGCAGCTGGCTACATTCCGCTTTGAGAATGTGTTATGTTTGTAACTTCACTGAAAATGAAAAATCTGTTAGGGCAGGGATTAGGCACGCTAGTGGAAGAACTCTGGGATTTGTAGACCCAAAAAGTAACTTATCCATGCCGTGACTGTTGGATGTAGAGGTAGTTCTGAAATGTTGGGGACTAAAACCAATTCTAACTGTAAGATGTTATTTTCTTTCAAAACTGTCTACAAGTTGTTCAATGTATAAAATAAAAGGAGCTTCTTTATATTAATCTGCATACATTTAAATATTCCTTGTAGTTTCTCAAAGCAATAATGGAACAGAAATACAGTCTTGCGAAAAAACTTTGTCAAATGAGTAAGTAATGTATGTAATGTAAATGACTCACATTGTTTCTCCGTATCTTTCCTTCAAAGATATCATTTATGCAACTGTTCATCTACAGTATTTGAATTTTAGATCTTGCTCCTACATAAATAACAGGTAAATATATAACGATTTACTCTGCAGGTTATGGAGGTGCAAGATCTAAAATTTATTTATACTTAGAGACAGGCACAACTCAAATTGTCGCACTTTATATGAAGCATGTCATGCATTGCCACAGCTATCAAATGGACTCTTCCTCCGCCCCCACAGTCATCTGGCCCACTCACCTTGTGTCATGCACCACTGGGATCCTCCTCCTCCAGCAGCACTCCAGTCCAGGCAGGAGCTTGACCAGCCCGTCCCTCTCTCCTCCAGCAGCTAATGAGGAGGCAGGACAGAGATTCCTCCTGCACAGTCATGAAGTGGTTAGCTGCTAGAGGGGGTGGGGAAGGGCTGGCTGAGGTCCTGCCCAGGTTGGAGCTCCAGCAGGGAAGGAGGACCCCAGTGGCGCATAATGCAAGGTGAGTGGTCCAGTTAGCCGAGGTACACTTTGTATAAAGCACGACAACTTGAGTCATGCCCATCTCTACATGCTAGCTAGCAGGTTCTAGAGAAGTGGCTGTGTTATTCTTTTACAGCAAAAAACCCAACAACATGAGAGTACTTGGGCACCTTAAAGAATATGTTATGCTATAATAAATGTGTTGCTCTTTCAAGTACCACAGAACGCATTGTTGTTTTTACCAGCTAGCAGATTTGCTTCCCTTGTCAAAGTCTTGGAGCCTTCTAGATTCTTCCCCAAATGGTTTCCTATAGAGCAAAATCCTGTTAGCAACACTCACTCTGCCTTGTCCAAACATACCTTGCTTTTATGATACTTAATTGAAAAAAATCTTGGGAAGTGTGGTTATTTGTATTGAGCAAAGATACTGCAAGCAGTCAGGTGTTCTTTATTTACAGTTTTGAATGAATGGCTTAGTGTAAAAAATTATTTCTGAAGAACAGTACAACTGACTTCTTTTTGAAACCCTTTAGTGTTGGTTTTGATTATGCTGTTTACGTATCTGTCTGGGGCTTACCAGTGATAAAAGCAGAATACAAGCAAAGCAGGAAGAACGGGAGATAGGAAGTCTTCCTTCAGTTTTTCCAATTTCAGCAGTGTTCTGTATAAGCGATTAATGGTGATTGTAAATTGTACTTGTAGATTTACAATTGTCAATGTAAATAATACTGCATTAAGCATACCTGTTTTATTGACATTTAAATAGCAACACCGAGACCCTGATCCAACTTGCAGTAATTCTTAACCAAATACAGTGATGCCTCGCAAGACGAGATTAATTTGTTCTGTGAGTCGTGTTGTATTGCGAAAATTTCATCTTGCAAAGCGTGGTACTAACAGTTGTGCGATTTAAAACAAACAAACAAAAAAGGAAAAATTCATCTTGCAAGCATGGTCTTAGAAAAATTTGTCTTGCGAGTCACCAAAAAAAAAATCACAAAACGCTTTTGTCTTGCGAGCTTTTCATTGCATGAGGCATTAGTCTTGTGAGGCATCACTGTACAGAACACTCATCATGGTTATTTTTCAACAGGTTCTCTAGCTATTTATTGCTTGGGGCACTCATATTCTCTCTCTCTCTTTCTCTCTCTTCTCTATCAGAAGTACTAGAAGTTTTGGCAATGGCTGTGGAATAGTTCTGTGTGCACATGCAGTCAGGCCTTATAAAATTTCCTATTTAAATTAGCATCCTTAAGGTCTCATAACTTTCATATAACAGAACAAATGAAATTGAAATAAAGAAATACTCATAGCAGAAGTTATTTCCAATAAAGTTCTTTTTTGCAAACTTTTTCATTTTCTCTTGCCTGGTATAGACATTAATAATGCCCTCCTCTCTTTTGTCAAACTGTAGTTCTAATATATGAACCAGAAAATCCCGAGGCCAAGCAGTTTCTTCCACTTATTGAGCAAAAACTACTGTTGGGTAAGTGTGAAAACTGCAGGTATGGCAAGCTGTTCTGCTAATATTTGTTGCCCTGCACAATTATGCATCCACTTGTACTTAAATGGGCAGTCATGTTGAGATTTAAAGTTGGTGAGTGATGAATCAGTAAAATTTCTGAAAGCATGTCTCTTTTATTAATGCTGATAGCAAACACAGGCTTGCTCCATATTACTACACCATAATCTTTACACTTTCCACAGTGGACTTCAAACATTGTCAGAAGAGTATGTACACACTTGGAGCCCAATATTCTGTATGTTTCCTCTAAAGTGACTCTTGTTGAGTTTTTCTGCCAAAGATATAGTAATAGAATTGTTCCTTTCAAAGCAAAATTAGTATCCACCACACACTTTTATACAGCAGCCCAAGCACACTATTTGTCAATATATCTGTGTCTGAACACCACTTATTTCACCTACAGAGGTGACTTTTACAGACAGAAACATGACTGTGCCATGGGTTCCCCGGTATCACCCATTGTTGCCAACATATACATGGAAGAAGTGGAAAAGAAGACACTAAACATTTTCCAGGGGATGACGACATCTGTGTGAAGATCAAGATTCAAGAAGGACAGGCCTTCACAGACCATATAAACGTAGTGGGCCCAAATATCAAGTTCACCAGGGAAGACACCAAAGACAGCCAGCTGGCTTTCCTGGACTGTACAGTTATCATAGGATCCAATGGCAGCTTAAGTATAGAAATCTACAAAAAACCTACACACACTGATCAATACCTGCAGTTTGACTCTCATCACCTATTGCAACACAAATTAGGGGTCACCAGGATGCTAAACCACAAAGCAAGAAACATCCCCACCTCCACAGAAGCCATGAAGAAGGAAGATGGACATCTGAAGGCAGCCCTTAAGGCCTGTGGATATCCAAAATGGACCTTTAATAAGGCAATGTCCTGACCCAACAGGACAATGGAACAGTCTGAGACTCAGAGCTGATGGAAGAACCTGGTCCTTCCTTATATTGTGGGTGTGTCTGAAAAATTTTAAAGGATTTTTGGTAAAGACCAAAATTCCCATGCACTTCAAACCCATGAACACATTAAGGCAGAGACTCATCCACCCAAAGACAGGACACCAAAACACAACAGGAGCAATATAGTATATGCAGTCCAATGCAAAGAGGAGTGTTCAGAGCTCTACACTGGAGAACCAAAACAACCACTAAATAGGAGAATGGCCCAGCACAGGAGGGGCAATGCTTCAGGACCACAATCAGCAGTGTTCCTTCATTTGAAGGACAAAGGACACTCATTTGATGACCAAGATGTACTCATTTTGGACCGAGAAAATAGGTGGTATGAGAGAGAGGTCAGGAAGGCCATACATGTGCATGTAGAAAGTCCCTCACTTAACGGGTGGAGGCCTTAGATACAATCTGTCTCCTGTTTATCGTTCATCCATCCCGAGAAAGATCAATACCACACACACCAGAAAGACCACTGTCAAGGATCCATGACAATGGGTAGAGAAGGATTGTAGAAGTGGGATTTTCACTCACCCCCAGTCCTTTGTCCATCTAATGAGCCTATTCAGACCAGGGGGAAATGAAATCAACATAGAGTATATATCAGGGGTCTCCTACCAACTCTCCTCAGATTGAAAAAGCTACTTGGCTGAGTAGCGAAATGTTTCAACCTAATAAGGAAGAAGTCCAGTTGTCATGACTCAACTTCCAGACTATGTGTCAATGGTGTTTGTTACAATAAATATATAGGTATGATGAGAAGATCTTGTTTCTTTGTTGAAAGCACCAGCAAAGAAAAAGGGAAGATGGGAAGGGATTGAGGAAAAAGGTAACCTTAGGGACTAGTTCTTAAGGGTACAAACTTTCAAAAATAATCATTTGGGATGGAAATACTTGAAGTATTGGTTGTTGTTGTTTAGTCGTTAAGTCATGTCTGATTCTTCGTGACCCCATGGACCAGAGCACGTCAGGCCCTCCGGTCTTCCACTGCCTCCCGGAGTTGGGTCAGATTCATGTTGGTCCCTTTGATGCCACTGTCCAACCATCTCGTCCTCTGTCGTCCCCTTCTCCTCTTGCCCTCACACTTTCCCAACATCAAGGTCTTTTCCAGGGAGTCTTCTCTCTCATCAGATGGCCAAAGTACTGGAACCTCAGCTTCAGGATCTGTCCTTCCAGTGAGCACTCAGGATTGAGGACCAAAATTGAAGTGTAGAAGAGCAAAACAAACATTCCATCTCTCAATGGAGCTAGATAATGGCCTTGTTTCTCTTCTTTTTCTTTTGGCATGCCCACAAGCCCATCCATGGTGGGTTGGTTATTACTGAAAGGTTTTTGTTCTCATGCAAGATGGGATCCCCAATTTTCCTAGTTTCTGCTGCTGTTTTCCATATTTCTTCTATCATTCTGGGAGGCTCTCTAAACCCTTAGTAACAGCTGCCCATGGAATGTAGGTTGCTACATTGGGTAGAGACTAAAAATTGGGTGCCCCATCTACACAAGTAGAAGTATTTTCTGTCTGAACAAAGCCACAACTGGATTCAACTTATGTGTCCCACAGTTGGAAACCATTCACTAGTCCATGTAAGTTGCCAGTTTGGAGTCCCCTTATCTCCACCCTTCACATTGACAATGCTGGTGGAATACTGCTGTAGCAGGGTGTTGTGTGAAACAGCCAATTGCAATTCATATAAGGCTAGTATTCTCTATTGCGGTCTGAAGACCACTGCTAAAGACGTGGTAACGCTCTAGGAAGTGAGCAAATACTCATTCTAGATGCATAGTTCCCTGGAGACATCTCCAGATGTTTTCAGCAGGATTGGGCGATCTCCAGAGGTGTGGGGTTGGAATAAGCCCATCCTTGGACTTTGGGAAATCATGTGTGTTCTCAAAATGCCTATGTCTTTAAAAAATATTTTTAAAATCCTGTTTTAAATGAAAAATTCCCTTGTGCCCTGTAATGGTTATAAATAAATATAAAAACTCATGAATTGGGAGGTGTGGGAAGCAGGTATGTTGGGATGGGGGTGTTAACATGGCAAAACTGCATCCTATTTTGTCTAGAAGGCATAAGGGGACTTTTGAAACAATACATTTTTTCTTTAAGAAAATTAAAAATTTGAAGGTGGTAAGGAAGTTCCATTTGCGCCCAAGGAGGCTTCCAGCTGCTCATGGGTTGCATGTTTCCCACCTGTGGTCTAAGTGCTAGCCTTTGACAAAGCAAAAATATATTTCAGATTCTTAAGCAAAACCGTAATACATCTATACATCCACTCAGCCCCATATATGAGCCTTTTCCATCCCCTTTCTCACCCTGATTATTAGGGCAAAAGGATTTACTACTGCTCTCCCAGGGACTGGGAGGCTTCCAAGTTTTAAGACAGCTTTTTTTCCCCTTAATACTTTGAAGCCTCCCAGTCCCTGGGAGAGCAGTAGTAAGTCATTGGCGGGTGTGGCAATAGAATATGACTGTTCCCTCTTCCAAAGAAGAGAGATGACTATAGGCAGATCCCAATCAGTGATCCTAAATCCTTGATTAATTATCCAATGGGAGATCAAGTGTACTTTTTTGAAAAAAGAAAACTGACTTTTTTAAAGGAGTTATTGAAGTGTTAACATACTGTTGTTGTACTTAGTAAATATTAATCAGTTTATATAGTAGAACACCCATATCTGCAGGGGGATAAGCTGATTTAAAGCGTGCCTCTTTTGAATTTCCATCTTAGAAAATGAGTGTGCTGCTAACGAAGATGAAGAAACTGGAGAAGGGAGCAGTGACGACAGTGAAGAGGATACCAGCAACACAGATGACAGTGAGACAGAAAGTGAAGAAAGCTCTGAGGATTCCGATAAAAATGCCTAGAAATTTAGCTGTATCGTCACGGAGTATATTCTTTCTTCGTTGATTTGTCTTTGAAATGCATACAGTAAATTGAATTTATTGATAAAGTAAGACTCTTCCATGCTCCTGGTATCTATTCGTTGTACTTACAGAGTTTCTAGTTTTCCACAATTTTTAATATTATTGCATATGGATTTTGGCCATAGACAAATCCTGGGAAACATTGTTATGCACCAGCAGTTTGTGAGATGAAACATTCTAGTAAATGGTGCAATATCTGTCAATGAGATAGATTGATTGCTTCCAATAGCTCACTATTCTGGACTAGCTAGCATAGTTCTAATTTAAGGAATTCTGGCATACAGAATTGAACTCCTGATGGATCTTCTAGCAAAGGGGTGGCAAACTCGTAGCCAGGCTGGTGTTTTAGACTGTAGCTCTGCTAATCCCTCAGCATTGGCTGTGCTCCCTAGGAGTGATAGAAAGTATAGGCCCAAAATATCTAGAGGGCCACAGATGTGCACCTCTCCTCTAACAGCTCCTGGCTCGCCATTTGGTGTTTCTGAAAATGTTGTGCAACCAATTACTGCAATTTTTAAATCCCTTCCTCTCTTATTTTGGATAAGAACAAGATAAGAAATAAAAAGTTCCAAAAGACAAAAACTTGGTGGCATCTTAAAGACTAACTTTTAATGTGAGCTTTCATAGACAAGAGTTTCTTCTTCCCTGACACCTTTCCCATCCTAGTCTTTTAGACCGGTGGTCCCCAACCAGTTGGGGAGGTGGGGTCCATGCACGGGGGGGCGTACACTCACGCATGGCCAGGTACCAGGCTGCGGATCAGGGGTTGGGGATCCCGATTTTAGACCACTAGTATTCATAGAGGCATTTTTACTGACATAGAAGTTAAAATTTCTTGGTAGGTATTCATATATACTGGCAAAAATGACTGAGAACCTGGAAATCTTGTGAAACATACATTCTCTCCATCTCTTCAAATAGTCCATCTAAGGGTTGTTTTTGTTTGTTTTTGAGATTTTTACCTTTCTGTCAATGATGCAACACATCTGACTGAGAAAGTAGTAGGGTGGCAGTGCTCAGCTGATTAACCGGACAGATTAACTGATCATATATGACTTTATAGATTAAAAATTGCCCCCAATTGATGCAGGAGTAGTGTCCTAGTGACAGAATTGTGATCTTACCTGTAAAGGAGCTGCTATCAAGAGCACCAGGAGTCTAACCAGAGAACCACCAACACCATACCTTTCTTTCCAGACACTGACATGTTACTGAGTCTCCTTTCCATCTCCATGTCTGTAGATGCTTCATATACAATGCTGTATAATGTCATCTATTTCTCAGCGGAATTATCAACCAGATCTTACCTTGTAGTTTAAAAATAACCCTTTGCAGTAGCACAATATCAACATTCAGTAATTCCGAAGGGAGACTGCTCTTATCCTATTCTTCAGTTCCACCTAGATGTTTCAGTTCTCAGCCTATAAGCATTGTGTATCTTGCTGTGGCAATGGTTGCTTCAAAGCTAAAAGAAAACTCGTGATTATAGGCTTAGTGATCAAGGACACTGTGACCCCAAAAAGCATTCTTGGCTGCTAAAGTACCAAACTGAGGAACATCATCAGGCCAGAGAATGACACTGACTATAGGGAAAGAACCTCAGAAGGGTAAGAAACTGCATAATTAACTACAAGGATGTGCAACCATCTTGCAAAGGTATACTTAATTTAACAAAGACGTGTGTTCCTATACAAACTATAAGGCTATTTTGTGTCAGCTTAGGAATTGGTCTTTCATACTGGTAAGAAAGTAAAATGACAATTTCGAAGTAAAATTGTCTACAGTACATTCTTTTGTGAAGTCAGCTATGAGCTGATATTCACAAAATATATAGTATTTTGAGAGGTATGTGCCGTTCACATTTCTGCCAATCCAGATAAATAGATTAGTAAAGCTCCAATAATTACATAAAACTAACATTTTTCAACCGTGTTGTTTTCTAAAGAATTTTAGGATTTCTTTTATTATTTGTAATTGTTAAGGGAATAAAATATATCGTGTCCAGATTATTTATGTATGAATGATCAATATTCTTAAGCAATAAGTTACAGCAGGTGGTCTTCTGTGTACAAGCAGAGAGAATGATTGTTCTCTGCAGGAGTGTAGAGCCTGCATATGAAAGAATCCCCAGAGCGTAATGTAGAATCATATTTCAATCTGTCCGTCCTTGTATGGAAGGATGCCAGGCCAATGTGAGAGTGGATGGGCTGTGCCTAGCTTGCGTGTCTTCATCCTGTGCAAATTACAAGTTAGTGAAAATGGATGTGTGACAATTAGGACCATACTGTTATCTTCCATCGAAAGTACATTTTTAAGCATGACCTTTTCTTGAAATACAGTGGTGCCCCACATAGCGAGGCTAATCTGTTCCGGATTAACCATTGCTATGGGGAAACATCGCTATACGGATAGGAAAATGCCATAGGAACGCATTAAACTTAGTTTAATGCGTTCCAATGGCTGCTAAACTCACCGTTAAGCGATGTTTCCTCATAGCACCGCCATTTTCGCACCCTCGGTAAGCGAGGGCAGGGTGCGAAAATGGTTGCGGCTGCCATTTTGAGTCGCCCGGGGGCCATTTTGGAACCACCAAACAGCTGATTTCCCAACATCGCAATGCGAAGATCGGTAAGCGAAACGCTTAACGATCATCGCAATGCGATTTTTGGCCATAGAGACCATCGGTATGCGATCACATTAGCGATCTCAAAAAAGAGATCGCTATGTGAATTTGTAGTTATATGGTGTGCTCGTTAAGCGAGGCACCACTGTACAATGCTTGTTCCCCATCCCATATTTCTTAAATTAAGACCCCCTTGGTACTTAGGGAATTGAGCTTGGATTCATACCATAAAACCTAAGTCTAATTTCTCCTTCCTTTCATAATGTAGGCAACCAAGCATTTGGGGGTGTAGAAAGAAATATCACTGCAGGACTCTTGCTAGAGGAAGCACATTGTTCAAAGCCCATTTGCCTCACACTGTAATACTTTAACCAATGAAGCACCATTTAAAGCATGGTAAGCAGACCTTATTGGGGTAGCTGGTTGCATTCCCTTGAGATAATCTATTGGGGGACATGATGGCAGTGGGTGGGTTTGAAACCATTAGTGGATGGAGCTAGAGCCAATGGTGACTGAACTCACACTCTACACGCACACACACTTCTCTCATCTTCCTGCTAAAAGATGGATTGCACTTCAAACTACTTGACTTGATCACTTATGTAACCTTTTGAAAAAGGCTAAGGGTTGAAGGCTGACTGGATTCTTGAGATGGGAGTTAGGATTTTATTGAACTTGATACAGAATGGCCAAAATCTTGTTTTCTAATGTAGTAAATTGCCCTAGAGCAGGCCCATTGAATCAATGGGGATTTAGTGAGTCAACTACTCCATTAGTTCTGTTGATTCAAATTGGCATATTCTAACTGGGATTTATTTTAGCATAGAAAGTTGCAACTAAAGTAGGCCTGTTTGAATCTGGAATGTACAAAGGCGTTGGCTCACTAAATCCCCATTCAACAGGTCTACTCTAGCATGATTCACCAAAATGGGATTTACCACAATGAGATTTGGTACCTAGTGTGATTTACCAAATCGCACTAGGCACCAAATCTCATTCCGGTATTTTGTTATAAGTAAATATTGAATGGATTAGGAAACAAATTAAACCAGAGGTCTGGCTTTTCTCAATGAATGATACTCTTGAAGCTTCGTTTAAAAATTCTGGGAGAATTGCTTAATGCATTCTGATACGTCCCCAATATGTCTCTTTAACTTAACACGGCTGGACTTTACTACATGGTCCAATGATATCAAGTTTACTTGATCATTGTAAGTCTTCTCATTGGATTATCTGAGCAGGCAAGAAATGCTTAGGATGATGCAGACTCCTGTATATGTGCCACTACATCTGTTTTGAAAATGTGCCTGTAGTAGGAAATTTGTCTAATGTCATCTATGGGTAAGCCTTCTGGTTTGGTTGCCCACATGGGATTGTAAGTGAGGGGAATTGTCAAGCAGCTAAAGAGCCATACTTACATGATTGGTTTTGAGCTCAACTTAATGGATTACTCATGGTCTGGGAGCTTGAAATATTGGGAAAGGTTACTCTTTCTCATGATGACATTTCAGCATTATAGTGATGTTTTGTTCTGGCTTTAAAGAAGTCTAAGAAGCAGATGTGTCATTACATATGGAGCTTCATTTCTAAAACTTACAGAATAAAGTCACACAGTTGTAATGCTATGTTAAACAAGTGTAAATAAAATTTATATAGGGTAACAAAAACTGCAGTAGACAGCAGAAGAGAAATGCCTTTGTACAGTATTGTCTACTACCCATGTAAAATAATGTGATATCTGATTCCTCCAATTCTCTGCCTCTTTGCAGAGATGCAGAATTTTCTAGCTGCCATCCTATCTTTATGTGTCATCTAAACAAGATATGACAACCATGATCTTCATTAAGTATGAAACACTTAGCATGGAGCTATGATTGATCACTGGGGAGGAGCTCAAGACACACAGAGAGCAAATTATGCAAAGAGAATAGAAAATACCCTCCACATTGACTGTTTACCCAGTTTCTAAAAAGACATTTGGTATGGGGTAATTAAAGCTAATTTGAAAATGATATGTAGCAGAGGTAGGGTACAGAAATTATTTTCCAAGGTAAAGTCAATATTGTTAAATGAAAGTGAGTACATTTTGTAACTTAAGTAAGGTGATCACATATGTCTTAAAAGTTCTCATGTATTAATAATAATAGTTCTTGTGAAGAATCTTAAAAATAAGTACTGTGCACAATGCATAGAAAGTAAAGCCTTCCGGTGGGTTTACTATCTGATTTAGACAAGGAATAGAGTATGAAAAATAGAAATTAGAGGAAGGAAAACCTTTTTAAGATTTAAAATAATAATAAAGGAATGAATGTAATGAATATCAGCTGGTAAATAATGGCATAGATTTAACAGTTTATGAGTTCCACCTGCTTAAGGAACAATAGGAAAAGAAGCACAAAAGCAAATGGAGAACGGAAGGTGAGGTTTGTAAAGCAGGGGAGAGGAAAAGAAGTATGCAAAGATGGGGGAAGAATAGATAAAGAAGTCAGAAATGAAAGATATCCAGAAGGAAGTAGATATATACATGTTAGGAAAAGTAACAGACTCTTAGACTGAATGTGAACAAATAACTATTGAAGAGAAAGCAAAAACTGAAAAACTTCTATCTGCGGAAACAAAAAACAAACCAAGCAACAGAACTCAAAACAAAAGCAAGATGTTTCAGATGGAAACTGGATAGACAAAATACATATCAGAAGGAAGTCGATATATACATGTTAGGAAAAGTAACAGACTCTTAGACTGAATGTGAACAAATAACTATTGAAGAGAAAGCAAAAACTGAAAAACTTCTATCTGCGGAAACAAAAAACAAACCAAGCAACAGAACTCAAAACAAAAGCAAGATGTTTCAGATGGAAACTGGATAGACAAAACTGAGATAAGAAATCAGACTTCAGGCATGGTCAGAATTCACAGATATAATGATTATTAGCAATATTCTACAAGTGAACATGAAGAAAAGGGATTTTGAAAGAGCCAGAATCTCTTGTTTAAGGAGCTGTGATACAATAGAATTGAGTCTACAAGAAGGTGGTGATCTTCTGCAGAGGGTGGGAGTATATGCAGCAGGTAAAGAGAAAACTATTGGTAG